TTTTGATTTTATCTTAAGAAATTCATTATATATATATATATATAAATTATTAATTTTAAAAATAATAATTTAGAACGGATTACAATTCGGACACCATAAACTTCAATCCTGGTTGTGCTCGGGACAAACAGAAAATGAATGACTTATTTTGAAATCTAACATATGGATAATTCCAAGTGTTTTATTTCTTTAAAAACACATTCTTGCTTTCCACGTGTATACTTGGTCCACCAGAAATATTATATCATCACATCGTAACAGATAGTCAACACAATTACGGTTTTCTCCGTCTTATTTTACTTAACCTTGTGTGATTTATATGATTTGATTAGTTAATCAATTACGTCTAGATTTCAAAATAGTTAATCGATTGCATCGAAATCATTTCCATATATTCCACTTCATATAGATTACTTTCATTATAACACTAATGAAAGTTTTAAGAGTTCTCTAAATATTAAACTCATCCCTACATGGATAATTATTAGTCCCATCTAGTTGATACACAATTATAAATTATTTTATTCAATTCTATTATGTTATGAGTTAAGTATACAAAGATTTTCGAAGATTCGTACTCAGTTTTTTCTTTTTATATAACTTTATTACATGTAAATTTAAATGCATTTCGTACTTTTTTACTTAAAAATTATTAATCATATAATCGCATCTAAGAAGGGGTTATTCAAAGTCATTGGCTAAGTAATTTAGGCAACCTTCCCTGATTTTATCTTCACTTTGTGCTAATTAACGAGTTTCGCATGGTTTACAAATTCATTTTACAGTTTTAAAGTCTTATTACATGCTTCTTGCGAATATATTGGGCGTTTCAAAAGTCAATATTTACACTCAGTGTAATATTATTTGATTTCATATAATTACAGTGTAAATTTAAATAATAAAAATTATTTAAATTATTAAAAATACAAAATAATATAATATAGTCTAGAGTACTAACGAATGAATCATATACACTATATATCCACAAGTCAGAAAAGTCTAAAGAATAATGCGACAGGTAACGTAATATATGTGAACAAGTTGTACATTTAATAGCCACCAAATTAAATAATATTAATTTTGATAACATACAACATTTGGCTGGATAATGACACCTAACATTAATCAATGATTGTGCTTAAAATAGAAATATAATATCTCTACCCACTTTCTTTTCCCTTCAATTCTTATCTAGTTTATCAACTGCTCTCCTTTTTTGACTTGTTGAATGAGCAAACTATAATGTGAATAAATCAATTCATAATTAATTTACATTGCCTAGTTCAGAACAATAAACTAGAGGGAATTTTAATAATCTCAAGAAAATATAATAGGAAAACTTTTATTAGTAGTTCTTAAAAGGATAATATTTTTATTAATTGTCCTTCTTTTATCAGTCTCTATTTCTTATTTAAGGGTTCTTGGTTGAAAAGCAATCACTTGTGATGACAGCAAAAGAATCAATCATACCAAAACCAAAAACCCCAACTCAATTTTCTTTTCTTCCAAAAAGTAAATATGCAATTCTTTTCATCATTATGACCAACTAAAACCAGAAAGCTGTCACATTCAAAGCCGACCCTTTAGAAAGAAAATAAAACGATATAGTAGTATTTTTTTTTATCCGATAAAGATAGTGTTAGAGGCTTGAAAAAGGGTGGAAGGGATCAAAAAGGGTTTCTTTTTCTATTGTGACTTGTTGAAAATTTGTGTATTTCCTGCAAAAAAAAAAAAAGATTGGATTGATCAGTTTTTGTGTAGAAAAAAGACATATATTTCCTCTAGTCATTTTATAAAGCAGTTTTCTTGATAAAAATACTTTCTGAAAATACATAAACCCAAAGAAGAGGGGGATGGAGATGATTAATTATCAGCTTGGAACGAGTTCTTATCAAGATTCTTTAAAAGTTCTTGAGGCTGATATTCAGCATGCCAATAATCTGTAAGCTTTGCTTTCTAAAGACTTGATTTTCTTTTTTCTTTTTTGCTTTCTGGGTATCAATTTACTATTAGTGCCTTATATTGATATATGCTTTCAATTTTGGATAGTTGCTTTCATAATAAAGACTACGGTTCTGCTATTATGTAATTGGAGGGAGATAACAGTTACTTAATTAGTTAGGGGTTTGTATTATCTTTTTTGGGCTATTGATGCTTTAATGTGGCTCTACCACTGACAAGCCAATAATTTGTCTGACTTTGATGTTGGAGGTGTGAGAGCCTGTTTTTAGCTTCAGAAATGGTTTAGTTTTTTGTTATTTCCTTGGAAAAAGGTAAGCCTAATTGTTATTTATATGGTTTTGTTGAAAAGATAAGATTTAATGATTATTAGTGTTTGTTTTCACTTTGCTTTTTGGTTGTAACCCCTGATGGAAATTGGGATTTAAAGGCTTTTTCTCCAGCATCTTGATGCTTGCACCTTTTGGCATTTGAAGCACCCTTTAGTATCAAGTTTTTTGTGCATTGTTTCTTTTGTGTCTAGGATTTTTGCTCCTTAAAGGGTGGGGTGTGGGGGTGGGGAACGTTGGACATGATGATGCTTTTGCGGCTGATAGATTTTAATTCTTGTTTCTGTCTACTCAGAATTCGTTTGGTCTTGAACTAATTTGCTGGTTTACAGGGCTGCTGCAATTCCAAGAGAGAAGGGAGGAGCGCGTCTTCAAATGAAACTGGCATACAATGGATTAGCTCCTGTGTTTCTGGTTTTGCTCCGTTGGATAGATAGTTCGTGCACATGCTTGCTTCCTGGCTATCTAAATCTCTTTCATGTCCTCATTTACAAGGTTGGGCTCCTATTTCTCTTATTCATTCTGAGTTCGGTTTTCTTTCCTTCTTTTGGCAACTAATCGTAATTCCATTCATGTACGGGTTATGCATTAGAAGAGTCAATAGGTGTGTACCCTATGTGTAAGTAAAACTCCAATTTGCTTCTGAATTTGGAGAATATTCAATGTTTTTACAACAATAGTAGTACATAATATTATCATGTAGTTGAAGCAGTCTTATGTAACTTTTTACCTGCTTTTGTCATTTTTCTAACATTCTCTCTCCTTTGGCAGGTACATACAGATGGGAGACCAAAGATATCCAGACACGGAAGGAGAGCAACTATTAGCGACTTTTATGGTTCGTTGCTCATTCTCTTATTATCCACTTAGTTTCTTACTCATTTTAGGAATAAGTTCCTTACCTTAATTGTGCTTTAACCTTTGCCCTTAATAATGACAAAATTGCAGGTGTTATACTTCCATCACTACAGCAGCTACATTCTAACTTGGTGGAGTTGGACAATAGTAAAGTTGTAAATCATGGCATGGAAATTTCTCAGAAGAAAGTCAAAGGAGAATCTAAATTTGTCAACTTTGAAGCCGAGAGAGAAGATGAATGCGGAATATGCTTAGAGCCTTGTAACAAAATGGTCCTACCGAATTGCTGCCATTCGATGTGCATTAATTGCTATCGTGATTGGTAATGTACCTACATTTTCTTGAGAAGAAAGAATCATACCTACATTCTCTCTATTCATCTCTTTCACTATTTTGGGAGCTTGGCTGAGAATGATCTTGCTTTCTCTACCTTGCAGGAATACAAGATCAGAGTCCTGCCCCTTTTGCCGTGGTAATTTGAAGAGAGTTAAGTCAAGAGACTTGTGGGTCCTCACCTGCAATGAAGAAGTTGTTGATCCGGAGACTGTTTCCAAAGAGGATTTAGTGCGTTTCTATCTATATGTTAACAGCCTGCCTAAGGATTCTCCTGATGCGCTGTTCTTGATGTATTATGAATACCTAATATGACATTAAGCATTTGAGATAAGTAGTGTACAGATAGAGAAAGAAAACCTTCAAATGTACATAAATTCTGGTGGGAGTAATTCTCCTAAATTTCATAGAGAAATAACCACCTCCATTATTGTCTTTGTTGTGGCATTTAAGCCAGCTTCATGATCAACAAAAATTCTCCAAAATTATGTCGCAGAGCTCCTTACTTAGAATTTTGCATCAAGTACATCGATTGTATCACCTTCTATGGATGGTTAGTGCATAACCTTTACTTCTGATTGATGGCGAATTATACATTCTTTTATGTACAGTTTTTGTTAAATCTTTGGAAGTATGTGCTATGTAAAATGTACATGCTTCCTACAATTCTATGTCTTAGCAGTGCAGGTAAAACAACATGATAGAACAATATCATGTTGAAGGTGGGGATTGAAGGGAAGATAAAATTTTGGACAGATAGTTGGATTGAAACAGGGAGATTGAAGGATGAATTCCCTACTCTCTGCAGTTTAACCCTGAACAAAAATGTTTATGTTTGGTGACTGTTATGTCAACTATGAATGGCATCTAAAGTTTAGAAGAAACTTTAATGATTGGCAAATCCAAGATATCAGTCACCTTTTTGACACTTTTGCAGCCAATTTCTCTTTGATGACAACAGGATGGACTCTCAAACTTGGCTTGCTAGCAGCAGTGGCTTCTTCTCTATTAAAAGTTGCTACAATCTTCTCCAAAAGCTCGATAGTAACTGGGACAACAATTGGCCTTGGAAGATGACATGGAGGACAAAAACAACACTACCGAAATGCCCTGCTTTGGTTGGAATGCTGTCGAGGGAGCATGTCTTAGCCAAGACAATTTGAAGTGAAGAGGATTCTCTATTTGCAGCAGATGTTACTTGTGTGAAAACTGACAAAGAATCCATCAGCCATTTAAACATCTTTGGTGTTTACTGGGTGATGCCACAGAATATCAAATGCTTACTGTCAAATTGGCAAGGACAAAGAATTGATAAAAGACTAAAGCAAGTTTGGGAGACCATCCCCTTATGGATCATGTGGACCATTTCTCTTGAGAGGAATAGCAGATGTTTTGATGGGATAAAGTAGCATTCTTCTTTTGTAAAGTAAAAATGTTTACAAAACTTGCGTTTTTGGTGTATGAGCAGTTTTCTGGAGTGTCTAGCCTATTTACAGGTTAAACCACAAAAAGCTATTGAAATGCTCAGCAAAGGAAGAGTATATTTCTAATCCTTCATTAAATTACCACATATATCAACTGGTACATGACATTACATGTGCATTTACAATGTCAGCTTGGTTGGAAACATTTATTGTACTCCACAAATGCTGTCTATCTGCTAATGATAAAAGAGGTAATCTGCCTATTGTATAGTTTCTCGTTCTTGCAATGGAAGAAACATCTCTGAGAATAATTCCTATTATTATCTCGCTCTCTGGATTGGTCCGGAGCGGTATTATTTGCTAGCTTACATTGAGTCCATCTACATCCCGCTCCTACTTTTGACCAGCTCGCTAAAAGATGGTTGACAGAAGCCTTGATTGAGGAAAAGATCAGTGACTTTCTGATTCATTGCTTCTGTAAGATGGATACCATCCCAGCTGATAAATTTGCTAGGATTGTTGCAGCTGACAGTACCAGGTGAGCCACACAACGAATGCAAGTTGAAGTTGAGTGGTCCTCCTGTAGCTCCACAGCAAGGTTTGAAAGCTTCCTCAAATTGGTACTTCTTTAAGTTCATCAGAATTGTTAGATATGCATTCCAGTAATCAGCATATAAGATATGACAATTAGGATATAATCTACGGAATCTTTCCAATCTCCTTTGCAGGATCTGGTTGTGGACCATTACTGCTGTGTTGACAGCTGCTGCACATCCCATATGATCAAGAGCAGCTTTCAGTGGACATAATGAGATATGTAGTGGGAGGCATCCTATTGGTGGTAATCCTTGAACTACGATGTACTTTGCTCCGCTTCCCAGCAATGCCTATACATATAAACACTGTCTACTTAGCATTGCTGTGATGTCAGATATCTGTGCTGCTATTATTCTTTAAAAAATGCTTATTATGGAAAGTTAAGGTGTTTGGCCAAGCTTATGAGAAAAAATGCTTTTGAGTAGTAGCAGAAATTGTTTTCTGCTGCGGGGAAGAAAAAGAAACAAGTAGTTTTGTCTTGAACATTAAAAACATAAGTTGGTTTTTTCATTTTTCTTAAGGACAAAAATACCTTTACCATACGTCTCATGTGAGGACAATATACTTGCTATCCTTAGCTTAGCTACTATATTACTTAGATACTTTGATTTTTGGAATTGTAGTGACCTGATGGTAGGAGTAGTTATATTGTACACTTAGCTTAGACTCCTAGTGTAGCTGAATTTTGGAGGTAAATGTTCTGCATTTACATGGCCTTGTAAAGATATTTTCTCTTTCTGTTTAATCAAAAAAAAAAAAAAAACCTTTACCATAAATTTATATTTACTATCCCATAATACAAACAAAATCTAACCTCATGCGTTTTCAACAATACATATATGACCAAAATCTCATGAAGTTGTTCCTTCTCTATGTGATTTTAGTTTTTACATTTTAATTAAATGAAATAGTTTTTTTAATTAAAGTCTCTCATAATAAACATTTAAAATCATTCGTCTATTATCTTAATAGTAATTGTAAAGTGAATCTTTAGCTTTATCACTTTGTAATTTCACTCTCAAAAGCACTTTTGTAAAGACTGGCCAAAACGAATTGTTCTTATAAAGCACATTTCAAATGTTTTGGCCAAACACAAACTACTACTTTTTCTAAAACGGCATTTGACAAAAAGCACCTTTTGAAATGAGCAGATTTGAAAGTTTGACCAAACAGACTTTAATACGAATGCATAAATAGTACTATGTCAAAGGTTTTAGTGAAACACTTTTCATGTGCATACCTCGATTAGTCTGCTAACTTGATCGACAGACTGCTGTGTGAGCCAACGTGTAGGTAAAGAGGACCCTTGTATACGAGCGTAGTCACTAACGCCAACAGAGCCTATCCAGAAGAGTGCATTCTCCAATTCAGCCTTGCAACTTTTTCCAGTTTTATCTGTACATCCCATCTGCTGTTTCAACTTATTGAACCAATCGATCTGAGTTTGAAAGTTCAAGGGTATTCCTTTCCAAAAAAGGTTAGTAATATTTTGCATCGAGAATTTCTCTTTGGGAAGAATTGTTGATCCAGCTATTGCAAAATTGACCCCAGATGTGAAATTTATAGAGGTACTTTGGAAGGGTGGCAAATGTGGTAGATTAAGAGCATCACATAGAAAATCTACCACCAACTGCCCATCGCATAAACCATTCTTCGATTTTGCTGAAATGCTCGTGCTTTGAGTGAAATTTACCTTGAGATCACCCACTAATTTAGCATTTCCGGTATCAGTGTAGGAATCTCCAAAAGCATAGACCTTGTGGAAGCATCCTATATAGTTATTATGCTTAATGGAAGTATCTTGAGCAGGGGAAGAGTTACCTGTTATAAAATAAAATAACTGTATGTCAGATAAAAGCTTCAAGGCATGAAAACAACTTTCTTAAAGAGATGTTGCCCTTAGATTATTTGTGAAAATACAGACAAGTTTCTTCAGGATACAACAAAATCTACAAATTGGCTCATTCACTATTTAGAGGAGTTATATATTTATTTATAGGGTTGAAAGAAGGCTATTCAGAATTGTAATCTTATCTCACGATAAAAAAAAAATCAGCAGCAGCATAGTCATCTTATTTCATGAACAAACATGTTCTTTCAATTAAAACCTGAATTTAAATTTAAATTAAAGCTGCCCCCAGGGCCTAGCTCAAGTGGCAAAGGGTGGTGGATTTGTGTCTTAGGTCACAGGTTCAAGCCCCCACACCATGCAAAACAAAGCCTGGTATTTAAGTGGAGAAGGGTAGAGGGGCGGGTCCATTATCCACTGAGTTTCGAAGGCTGCGGTTGGTCCAAAGGATCGGCCCCAGACGGATTTCTGGGTCATCAAAAAAAAAAAAAAAAA